TTTTTTTTTTTGTTTTTTTTTTTTTTTTTTTTTTTTTTTTTTTTCATCTAACACTAGGCAGATGCAAATTGTGTGTTGAATATTTATGTATATATTCTTAAATCAGTTAAAACCTGACTTGTATTTATTTAGCTAAAGTCAGTAAGCAATTATTCTAACTAGCAGTGCAACAGAGATTTGAATTGGATTGAATGTCTACCAGTGTCTTCAAATCTGTTTAAGTTTATTTAAATCACATATTTTATCTAATCTTTTTTGCGTCTCTGAGTGAAGACTGGGCCTGTGTGATATTTGATTGTATGCTAGAGAAGAAACTTCAAAGCTGGGAAAAATGCATCCGATAAACTTAATTGACGAAGTATGAACTTCTTCCACAGTGTTTCTTGGTACTATTTCCACTTGTTCTTGATTATATTATCTGATAAGCAGTATATTTAGACTTTTTAACTCAACCTTTTAATTGCTCTCTGTGTTGAAACGTTCTTGTATTCTTTTTGTATGAACGTATAATTTTAAATTTTAAAAAAGTAGAGAAAATATTGGTAAGAAAAGCCTTAAGCCAAACTTAACTCACAAAAGATATAGGGGTCATAAGGTGGTACATGTTCTGTTGGAGTGAGATTCTTGAGACCATTTCTTGCAAAAGGAAAGAAATGAGATGTTTTGTTTTTAAAGACCCTGTTTGGTAGTATTATTATTTGTTTTAATATGGGTGTGTTGCTGAAAGAAATATCGGTGTTTTTTATTACCCATCAATTTGGGTACCTTATGTATTTAAGGGTTGGCAAAATCTGGCCTGTGGGCTGAATCTAGCTCGCCAAAGGGTTTTTATCCAGCCATTGGAGGGACCTCTGGCTCCACCCAGCCCAGCATGAGGGCCAGCCCAGGCCAAGGTGGGCAGGGAGAGGCGTCCAGGAAGAGGATGGGTGGACAGGGTCGGGGTCTTAGGGCTGTGACAGCGTGGGCCTGGGGTAGAGCCCCAATCTGCTCCTCGCATGGCCCCCGGCATGGGCACCTGTTTTGCAGGCAGGGGTGCATGAGGAGCAGATCGTGGCTCTGCTCCAGGCCCTGGTCCCATGCCATCACTGTTCCAAGATCCTAGCCGCCTGGGATGTGGGTGTCAAATGGTGGGCCATGCTGCCCACCTGTCCTGCTACAGGATGCTGTTCTGCACCTGGTGACAGCCCCATCCCTTCTTCCCAGTCACGTGCCCTGTCTGCACAGGTCCCTGCCTGTCTCCATGAAGATCCTAGGATCGCAGGATGGTGATAGCGTGGGGCATGGGGCAGAGCCATGCTATGTGCCCACATGCCCCTGCTCACAGAACTGGCGTCTGTCACAGGAAAGTGCAGGGAGTGGATCGTGGCTCTGCCCTGGACCCTGGACCCTGGTCCAGTGTTGTCACAGCCCCAAAATTCTGGCCCCACCCATCCTTCCCACTCCCAGATGTCACTCCCCATTTGCCCACAGCCCTATCTTGTCTGACTGGTGGTGCATGGAGCAAAACCACTTGAGGGCTTTTTGACTGTTGCTTGGGGAGTGGCAGGGGTGCTGACCTGGCCTGCAGCAGCTCCTCAAAACACCCTAAGTCACCCTCCAGCCCAAATAATTGCCTACCCCAATATATATTCAGGGTTTGTTACTAGTTGTGGGGAACTTGGAGATCTAATGGAAGTGCCATAGCTGCTGACTTGATCTACTGCAAAGGCGGGATGATTGATCTTTAATCAGATGTTTTAGGCTTTTGGGAAGCTTCACATCTACAATTCCAGTTCCTCTGAGTAACAGTGTCTCTAAACATCCTGTAGATTCTAAGAGCTCGAGGTAAAACTCAAGAACCCCCCTCCAGCTTTCTGTAGAGGGGGCTGGTCTAGTATGACTGCTTCTGAGATGAATTGGATTTGGCATCCTTCCCGGTGACCATCTGTCCCGTGTCCATCATCCCCTGAAGCTTGACTTTACTCAGGTTTCCTAAGCTAGTTAGTAGGTCAGACTGAGTGGAAAATTCAGTTACTTGCGGTATTTCTAAAAAGAATTATTTTGAAACACTGTAGGATTCCTGTTATCCTTTATTGATTCAATTTGCAAGGCAGTTCCCTATGTAAATGTGGATGTAAAGGTGGGTCAGATAATGCCCTTAAATGTTGTATTAAAAATAGATATATTTTCCTTGTCAGTTCAAAGAACTGTGAATCAGTTTGAGGCAAGTTCCTGGCTCTGCTTCTCACTTACCTTGGTTTTTGGCAAGTTACTTAATGTGGCTAGAGTTAGCAAAACAAGTGTCTAGTGTTGCTTGAATCCTAGAAGGAAAACCTTTCCGTTTTAAGTCTGCCTATGCTGCTAGAGCAATTTGGGTTCTGTTGTAAACTTCTATCCTTTGAAACTTTTATTTCTATCAATCATGTCTAAGACTAAGTACACAGGTTGCTTCAAAGATCTTGGGGCAAATTTTCAGGATTCAGTTAGTGTATTTTGTTTTGTTTTTTGTTTTACTTTTAAACTGACTTGGACTTGTTGAGACATAAGAAATAAGAATTTTCTCAACGCTATAGTTCAGAACATAATTGTCCTTTATCTCTACGTGTCAATTTTTTCTCATTCTCCAAAGTTAAAATGCTCCATCTTTTCTAATGTATTGAGAGGTGGACTTTTCTCATCTCAAGGGCTGCTTGCAGATGTTAAAAACAAAAACCTAGCCCACCCCCCCTCTGCCTACCTCTGCCCAAAGAAAAAATGTGTTTTATCAGAAGAAACAGCAAGTTACTGCAACTTGGGTCTGCATCTTCTTCAAAAATCAGGAGCTTCGGCTGGGCTAT